TTATATTTAACTTTTCTGATTTGTATTTTTATTTTTTCTCTGTGGACATCGTAGTTGATAACATTCATAATTTTATTATTCACTTAGTTCTACAATATATTCCTAATAGGTTTGAAATAACAACACTGATAATATTACTGAAAATAAGAAAATCTAATGATCTTAAAGATTTCTGTGGTTTTTCTTTTATCTTTAAGGTATATCACAGAGAATGTGTAGTGAAAATTCTATGTACTAAGGTTACATGGAATAATTTATTTGTTCTATGTAATTATTTTACCAACTTGATGTAGAGTTAGATTCATTTGTTTTCAGTTTTTAGGTGTGATTCTTTATTTTTTATATTTAATTTTGTTTGTATTTATGTCCTATCAATGGTCCATTTTGGTAAATGCCCTATGTGCTTGAATGAATGTATTTTGTGGCACCGGGTGCAGTATTCTGTTTTTCTGTGTCAATTTTATTTATTATGTTACTCTAATTTTCTATTTCCAGTTGATTGTTTTGGCTGGTTGTATTAGTCACTGAAAGAGATGTGTTAATATTTCTATCGTAATTGCAGACTTGCATATTGCTACCAGTAGTCCTTAGTGTTTTACCTGTACTTTAGCAAATTTATAAAGTTTGCTTGATGTGTTTTGAGGCTATGTAAATTTGGACTTGTTTTGTCTTTATGGACGTGAAATTTTATCACTAGGGAGTCATTCTGTTTGTATGCAGTATTGCTTTTTGTCTTAAGGTCACTTTTGTCTGTCATTGATATTGCCATGCCAGACCTCTCTGATTAATATTTGAATGGTGTATCATTTTCTATATCCTCATTTGGTTTTTAATCTTGCTGTAATTCTACATTTTTCTTTAGATAGCTCTCTTATCAGAGATCAGAAATTAGTTGAATATTTTTATTTTAGTCTGACACAATTAAACTTTTATTTGGAGCTCTCAGTCACTCATATTTTATGTAATTCTTGTTAGACTGAAGTCAAACCTGCCATCTGATTATGTGCCTGCTTTTAAATGTTTCTTTTCTTTTTCTTTACAATTTTGGCTTCTTTTTATGGATTCCACTATTTAAAAAAATCAATTTCTGTTTTTTCCTATATCATTCTGGAGTTACAGAGTCTGTTTTTATCTTTTAAAACTCATCCTTGAAATTTTAATGTAAGTACGGAATCCCCTGCAGTCTAAAGTTCTGCTCTCCGCCTGGATGGTACAAGTGTCTCAGAGTAAGCACTCTGACTCTGGCCACTCCATCAGATGCATCTTGTGGATTTTTCTTGTATTTGATTTCTATCTTTTTAAAATTCTAAAGATGTTATATATTTGTTTTATACGATCAATATTCATTTGGTTTTAACCCAATATTTATATTTTTGCTATTTATTATTTTTTATATCCTGGAGATTCTACTCAGGATATAAAATTTTCTTCTGCTTGAAGTATATCCTTTAGTGATGTCTGTTTATGGCAGACTCTCTGTTTTTGGCTTCAGTCTCTCACTGGCTCTGAATTCTTATGTGGCAGTTTTCTTTCAGCCCACAGTCTGCTAACTTCCCTGCTGTTATGGAGAGGTCTTCTGTCACGCATTTTTTTTTTCTCCTTTATTGCTAAGATTTTTTGTTTTCTTTTTTATTTTCTTCAGGTGATCTATGTCTCTTTCTGAATATCTTTTTATTTATTATTCCAGTTTGTCGGGCTTCTAGAATGTATGTATTCCCAGCTGGTAGTTCTTCAAACATTGCTTCCTCTCTGTTGTTTCACTCCTCTCATCCTGGAATTCCAGCTAAATTCATTAAACCTTCTCAAATGTGGTGTATATCTCTTTAGTTTGTACATTTTTTTGTCTACTTATGCTGCTATTTGGATACTTTCTTCGGATTTATTTTCATGTACACGAATTCTCTTTTCAGCTGTATCTATGGTGATATTATATTTGATTTAACTTTGTAAAAATCCTCAGTGAGAGGGTTGGTCCAAATAACATAGATCGTGATTGTTGGAAATTGTAAGTCTTTGATTATACCTTTAAATATGTTTAAATTTTTTTTATTTGGTTTATTCTCTTTCTTTTCTTTCTTTTTTTTTTTTTTTTTTTTGACGCGGAGTCTCACTCTGTCGCCCAGGCTGGAGTGCAGTGGCGCCGTCTCGGCCCACTGCAAGCTCTGCCTTTAGGGTTCACGCCATTCTCCTCCCTCAGCCTCCCGAGTAGCTGGGACTACAGGCGCCCGCCGCCACACCCGGCTAATTTTTTTGTATTTTTAGTAGAGACGGGGTTTCACCATGTTAGCCAGAATGGTCTTGAACTCCTGACCTTGTGATCCACCCACCTTGGCCTCCCAAAGTGCTGGGATTACAGGCGTGAGCCACCGCGTCCGGCCTTTGGTTTATTCTCTTTAGGGATACAAGTTATGGGTAATGCAAAATTATTCTGTCTTCCTTTCACATCTCCTGCATCCATTTCTTTCTCATTCTTTCTACTCTCTGTTCGTTTTAACTGTGCTCACTTTTCACTCCTTTTCTTTTCATGTCCCTCACAATGTTTATTTTCCTTTTAGCTGCTTCCAGTTTGGACTTAATATTTTCTATGTTATCTGTCTTAAAAAAATCTTTGCCAGGTCATATTTTAGCTCCTTATATTTTCTTATCATGTCTTCCTTGAGTACTTTTAGTTCTGTTTTTATGCTCTCCATTTATAGAGGTAATTGTTTCATTGGGATTTTTAACTTTATAACAGTATTTTTGGGTCACAATTTTGACCTATGCTATAGAAAGTTTTTGGTGTTCCTCCTCTAATTTCTTTCCCTGTTAAAAAAGAAAAAAACTCTTTTTCGTTAGAATTTTAAAAGTAGATTCTATTCTTGTTTCTTTTTTATTATTGTCTTTGATGGAGATGAGTTCTTGTTGGCTGAAGGACTCATGTGACTGTGCCAACAATATATCTTAGTGGCATCCTGCTGTGGGCAGGGATGAATTCTTATCTTTACCCATCTTCCTTTTTGCTTTCTCCGTCCTCCCAGGGAGCCAGTATAGATTGCCAGAGTGCTCTCAGATACCTCACAAGCAGCAGCTTCTTCCTCCTCATAGTTCTTATCTGTGATTCTTCAATAATTTTGTCCTTCTGAGCTTCTGACGCATTGAATTATGTAAAGTGTATTCCCTTCACCAGCTCGCGCACCCTGTTCTGTAAATGATAGTAAATGGCTGGTATTGCACTATAGAGTATGCTTCTTACTTGGGAGAAATTTGTGCTGTGAGTCTTTCCTAAAATCTTCGACAAAGAGCATTTCTTGCTCTGGTTTTTGAACCCCTGGTAGACTTTCAATGCTTTGCACTTCTTCCTCCTGATTTATATTTTGAAGTTTCAGATGTCTCTTAGCTCCATAGAGGATGTTGTTTGTGTTTCCATTTCTCAGTCCTTATTTTGGTTTGGAAGATCTCCAAGAGGAGAATATCAAACCCACAGTACAATTTTAACACCAGAAGTCAGTCTTTCCTCTTGAGTACAAATGGAAAATTAAGGATCTGTATTTACTTAATAAAATTTCACAAAGAGAAAATAATTAAACTACAAATAAAGAAGAAAATGGAAATCAGGGAACATGGAGTTAATTCAGGCAACAGAATAGAGTAGTAAAAAGGCTTATTAATATGCAAAGAGATGTGAATAAGATTATACACAACAAGAGTGGGCTGTTAAGAGGGACAATCAGGGAACCAAAAACATCTCTTTGAAATTAAAAAATCTAGTATTTGAAATTAAAAATTAAATATAGAAGTTGGAAGGTAAAGATGATAAAATTTCCTAATATTACTATCAGTATAAGCCAACAAAACATAAAAGAGACAAGATAAATGTCTTACAGGATTATTGTAGGAGACCCAACGTCTTACTAATACTGGTTGCAAAAAGAGTGGACAGAGAGCATGGAGGAAAGGAAATTGCAAGTAACGTAAGAATTTCCTTTACCTGAAGTATCTGTACATCTAGATAAAAAGCATATCTCAAATGGTAAGCACAGTAAGTGATGAAAAAGACCTGAATTGTGAAATTAGCATCTCATAGAGAGAAAAACCACATGCTTACATACCAAGCAAAAATAATTAGAATGGCATAGGATTGTAAAATACTGGATAATAGGAAGCAATGGCATATGCCTTTAAAATTTGAGGCTAAATGATTTTAACTTAGAATTTTATACCCAGTCTAAATATTAATTGTGTTGATAGCCAGACATGTAAGGACTCAGAATATTTATTTTCCACTCATCCTTTCTATGGACGTGTTTGAAGGATGAAATGAGAAATGAAACCAAGGCAGAAGAGAACATAGGATCTGGAAAACATCATAATCCAAATTCAGGGAGCAGCTAACAAAAGTCCCAGGCTGACACCTCTTTGGGCTTAGAGCAGCAATATGCCAGGGGACTCCAGGAGTGCCGCGGGGAATGCGTGCCGAGTGGCTGACGTGTCACCCGGGAGAAGCTCAGCTACGATCTTCAGTTTAATTTCCACGGCACAGCAACAGCCAGGCCTACTGTGGAGGTGTCACCTTTTAAAACAGAATCTACATTCTTCAGCAGCACTGAAAATGCTAGGCTGGAAGTGGGGTGCAGGTGTCAGGCTGAAAGCCTGTGGAATCTGAGTTTCTACATAAGGAATTGCGGTCAGGTCCTTGTGTATCCAAAACTCATTCTTGCACCACCTGCCTTGGGTGAGACAGGGTTGAAATGGCTGATGGTGCTTTGCAGGTATAGTGGGGAAGCACATGAAGCTGAAGACCGTGGACATTTAGGAGTGGAGGAACCAGAGCTATGAATGATGGCCAAGGGGTAATGGGCAGGGGGTGGGGGAAGAAATAATGGATCAAAAAAGGAAACCTCTGAATTGGGGAAAAGGAGAAAAGCATGAGTTCCTTAAGTTCTTATCTATTGTATTCAGGTTTTCTGATTTTTCTTTTTTGTTTTTTGCCAGACTTAGTATTTGTTTTGGTTTGTTTTTAGAGAGATAAGCCCCTTCTGGTTATGGAATACTGGGTTGGCTGGTTCGACAGATGGGGAGATAAGCACCATGTTAAAGATGTAAAGGGTGAGTGTTTTGCAGTGTTTGACTCCGGGAAGAGATGGCCCCGGGTCCCATGAGAACTCATTCATACAGTTCTCTGCTAATTGATTCATTTGATCAGCCATAGATATTGATGCAACTTTTTACATACAAGCACTCAGCCAGGCCCTGAGGATGCTCTGGTGGATAGAAATTACATGGTTGCCACCCCCCCAACAGAGTATAAGTTAGTGAGGTTCACAGATCATTACAGAGTAAAACAATCAATATATAGTTCCATGTTTGGCTGATACTTTGAAGCAAACAAACAGGGTGCAGTGATAGAAAAGACAGAAGAGAGACCTGCCCAGGTAAGGTTAGGTGGTCACCGAAGGTTCTCTGAAAATGTGACGTCTCTGAGGAAGGTGGAACATTAATCATCTCTAGCAGTGCATAGGCCCTGTCGATGGCATTGCCAACTAAGCACTAATAGTTAGGGGACAACATGCAGCGATGGCCAAGAGCATGGATCGTGGAGCCAAAGAGATCAGGTTTTAGTCCCAGCTCTGGAGTGCTAGCCATGGGACCTCATGCAGGCTTCCTTCATTTTAAGTCTCAGTGACCTCATCCAAACGTGAAGATTATCATAAAACCGACCTCATGAGGCTAGTGTGAGGATTAAGTGCTGCCACTTAGAGCAATGCCTGGCAGTCGTTTACTTAATAACCATATGTGTCTACAGAAGATATTTTGAAAGAGCTGTTACGAAAACAAGCCCCACTTGTATCTGAAGTATAGAAAAATATTGAAAAATACTTGGGGACTGAGAAAAGCCTGTTTTGGGTTGAAAAATAGAAAAAGTCAAGAGAAAATGCCATTATCACCACCAATACCACCACCAATAATACCATCACTACCACCAACAATAATGCCAGCAACACCACCACCACTGCCACGACCACCACCACCAGCAACACCACCACCACGACCACCACTGCCACCACCACCGCCACGACCACCACCGCCACCAACACCACCACCACTGCCAACACCACTGCCACCACCGCCAACACTACCACCACTGCCACCACCACCAATGCCACCACCACCGCCACGACCACCACCACCACCACCACCACTAACGCCGCCACCACCACCACGACCACCACCACCAATAATGCCAGCAACAATACCACCACCGCCAACACCACCACCACCACCACCACCACCAGCAAATAACAGTTTTCTGGTCTCTTGTATGGCAGGCACTGTGCCTTTTTGCCACATATATTACCTCATCAATGAATTTTCTCATCAGTCCCATGATATAGTTGGAATTAATACATTCATTTAACAGATCAGGAAGCAGTGGTGTTGAGAAAGAAAATGGGTTGACCAAGGTCATACAAATAGTAAAGAGCATAGCCAGAATTAACTCCCACTCTGAATGACTTTTAACCTCCTCCTTCCCACTGTGGCCGGTGGAGAGATGGTAGTAGCTGTTTAAAGACAGTAAAAAATGGAAGTTTTTGTGGCTAAAGATTAACAGCAACCACTCGTGGACTATTGCGGTGTTTCCAAGTCAGTGTTCCCAGAAACATTATACTGGAAGGTAGTAATGAGGGTATACTAATTGTAAGTATGATTTCAAAAAATTTAAGGAAAATTAGATATTTAAGTGACATGAGAATTCTTAGGGTATTATTTAATAGATGTAGGTTGCAGTCAAATTATGTCGATACGTTGGAAAAAAATGTTCAAAAATCTCTTGGGATTGATAGGATTTGGTGTCCTAGAGTAGTTCTGGCCAATTCTGCCTATTTCTTTGTTGGAATCTTTGTAGAGGTGGAGTGATAACACATTTGCAGTAGGTCTTTAACGTCATCAGCAGGTTCTTGGAAACTTTAAAAATGATACACAGCACATTCTCATGTAATACCATCTTCTTCAACATCGTTTCATTATAAAATTGAGATAAAAATTGGTTTTGTTGTATATTATTTCACTTAAAGTCTCCATTCCCAAGAATGTAGACAGCTGTGAAGCGAGGAGTTACTGTAATTGATTGCGGAGTGGGGTTGGAAATGATAAGTGTTTGCCAGAGACTTCTTTCTCCTCTCAATTTCTAACATTCTCTATGTTCTCATCTTCCCCTTTGCAGAGGTTGAACGTGCTGTGTCTGAATTCATCAAATATGAGATCTCCTTCAATGTGTATATGTTCCATGGTGGAACCAACTTTGGTTTCATGAATGGGGCCACAAATTTCGGGAAGCACACTGGCATTGTCACCAGCTATGGCAAGTGTCTGCCGGTGCAGTAGTCTCTCCAGCACGGGCGGTGCCAGGGCTTTGCAGAGGAGGCTCTGGAAGCCTGTTCTGGCATCACTGGGTTCTTGACCTCTAATCTATGCTGAGTACTAAGGATTTTCCTGTCTATTTTCCTTCCTTCTGTATGTTCATAATGCCCCAACGGGCTGTCATTGCAGTAGACAGGGCTTTCCGGGACTTAGAGCTCCGCTTCACGCATCTCGTATAATGCCCTGTTGGCTTGAACCTCTGAAGAGAGGCAGGGTAGGAACAGCGACTGCCGTAAAGGCACAGACCTGCATGGCCGGGCAATACCAGCTGAACAAAGAAAAGAGTATCCATTGCAGGGCCGTCCACTCTTTCGGCTTCCCTGGGCCACATTGGAAGAAGAAGAATTGTCTTAGGCCACACATAAAATACACTAACAGTAATGATAGCTGATGAGCTTAAAAAAGTGCAAAATGTTTTAAGAAAGTTGATGAATTTGTGTTGGGCTGCATTCAGAGCTGTCCTGGGCCATCTGTGGCCCATGAGCTGTGGGTTGAACACGTTTGCATTAGAAAGTGAAATCGAGGCACGCCCAGTGTCACGGCAGCCTCGGGTTCCCAGGAAGAGTTGTGGGAAGTGTCCTTAGATTGGCCTCACACACTCACGTGGGATGGAGGGTGTCTTCCTTCTGTCACTCTCAGTGGCCCTGGCCGTCTCCAGCCGGCGGTGCTGAAACAGGGCCTGCCGCGGAGACTGCGTGGCCTGGTGACTGGCCCCGGTGTCTTGCAGACTATGATGCTGTGCTCACGGAGGCTGGAGATTACACAGAAAAATATTTCAAGCTTCAAAAACTCTTGGAATCTGTCTCAGGTACTCAGCACCCATTTAACTTACGGGCCAGCCCTCCCCATGAGGAGTCTCTGTTCTGTGGAAAAGTGAGGAGGGCGCGGGTCTCCCTTGTGGGCAGCAGTTACTCCAAGCTCCTGAGAACAACGGCAACCTTAACTTCGAACCCTGGGCTTAAAGTCTGTGATTTTTGAAATAAGGGTTTCTTTTTTTTTTTTTTTTTTTTTTTTTGAGACGGAGTCTTGCTCTGTCGCCCAGGCTGGAGTGCAGTGGCCAGATCTCGGCTCACTGCAAGCTCCGCCTCCCGGGTTCACGCCATTCTCCTGCCTCAGCCTCCCGAGTAGCTGGGACTACAGGCACCCGCCACCTCGCCCGACTAGTTTTTTGTAATATTTAGTAGAGACGGGGTTTCACCGTGTTAGCCAGGATGGTCTCGATCTCCTGACCTCGTGATCCACCCGTCTCCACCTCCCAAAGTGCTGGGATTACAGGCTTGAGCCACCGCGCCCGGCCTGAAATAAGGGTTTCTAAGCATTTTATAAGCGTCAGTTTCTTCACTGAAACATAAAGGTAGTAACCTTGGTCTCCTGTGATGACTGTGAAGACTGAGTTACTCTTTGTAAAGCTCTCAGTACCATGGATGACATAATAATCCCCAATATGAAAGCAAAGGCCCTGCTGGATAGGCATGGGGGGCTTAGAGAAGGCAGTGGTCATCTCAGGCACTTTTTGCCCTGTGCCCCATCTCCATTGCAGCAATTCCCCTGCCCCAAGTACCCAAACTTACTCCCAAGGCTGTATATCCCCCCATGAGACCGTCGCTGTACCTCCCGCTGTGGGATGCCCTATTCTACTTAAATGAGGTGAGTGCTGCTTGGCCACAGGAGGTGGAGTGGCCATTGGAGGGATGGGGCAGGGATTCCTTCAGGAAACTGTTTTATTAGGAAGTGGGAAAACAAATCCTCTGCATTTCATTCAAATTTAGAACTGTGGGACAAGAGCCACCAACTCCTTCTGGGTGGACTGTGAAGGGGTTTGTCCTTGGAGTCAGTGTGCAGGGGAGGGGCAGCAGGATGTTGGAGGATCCTGGGTTCCTGCTCAGATGAACCTGTCTGGAGATGCTCTTGTTTAGACTGCGTGGTCCTTATGGAATCCACATAGGAAAAGCTGCTGAGCTGGGATTGGGAGAACAGCTTCTGCCCCCGCTTTGCCAGCAGCTAGGCCTGAACTTCCTCAGTCACTGCTCCTCCTCTTCCATCAGCCTTCCTGTCTTATTTTGAAGAAAGGTGAAAGCTGCTTGGAACTGAAACTGTAGCCCTTGAATTCACATTGGTTTTACCTCTGCTATCACTGTTTTGGAGAAAAGGTAGTGACTGGTACACTAAAGAAACTATATTTATTTAATGTAACTAAATTTAATTTAGTGAAATAAACATTTGCTTGGTGCATAATTCATTGCTAGACTTCAATATTTTAGAATACAATTTATTTACTCTTTTTTTCTTTTTCTTGAGACAGGGTCTTGCTCTATGGCTGTGGCTGGAATGCAGTGACACAGTCATGGCTCACTGCAGCCTTGAACTCCTGGGCTTAAGCAATCCTCCTGCCTCAGCCTCTTGAGTAGCTGGGATTACAGGAGGGCACCAACACGCCCAGTTAAGTTTTTAAATTTTTTGTAGCTACAGGGTCTCACTATGTTGCCCAGGCTGGTCTTAAACTCCTGGCCTTAAGTGATCCACCTGCCTTGGCCTCCCAAAGTGCTGGGATTACAGGCACGAGCCCCTTTGCCCCATCTATTTCCTCTGTTAATCAGTTCTTAGGATGATAGCGATTGCTCCTGCATCACCGTGCCCTGCAGTTCGTGGAGTTTCCTGGGCAGGGAGATGTCAGCACAGAGCAGTATCACATGCCATCTGTTTTATCATTTCCCATTCAGAGAACCCTTGGGGACCATTAGGTGGGACCACACCAAATGACAGGGTCTTAGAAAGGAGGATCCTGACTTCTCAGCCCTCGGGCTTCTGTTCCTGCCATTTCTCCTCATAGCCAGTCAGGTCCCATCAGCCCGTCAACATGGAGAACCTTCCCATAAACAATGGGAGTGGCCAGTCCTATGGCCTTGTCCTGTATGAGAAGTCCATCTGCTCCGGAGGCCGCCTCTGTGCCCACGCTCACGACATTGCACAGGTAGGGCCAACAGGCTGTCTGTGTGGGAAGCAAAATGCATCACGTCCCCATGCTGCTGGGCAGGGTAGTTGGTTGAGGTGTATGTTGCTGTTTGATGACCTACTGTATGGGAGGCTCTGGGACTAAAAAGTCAGGCCAAATAGACTTGCTTTCTGCTTTATCACCACCGAGAGTCTCTTGGGGCCTCCACGCAGCTTCATGCCATCTGTGAACACCATAGCCGGTCCCTGCCTTCATACTGACCTCCTTCTGCCAAAACCACGGCCTCTGTTTCCCTTTCTTCAGGTGGGCCCAGCAGTCTGATGCCGGCTCTTCTTTTGCAGGTGTTTCTGGATGAGACAATGATAGGGATTCTGAATGAGAATAATCAGGACCTGCACATTCCTGAATTCAGGGTATGTAATTTGAGAGCCCAGGTGATGCCCTTGAGTGCCCTCAAATGCAGACGGAGCCTGGTCCTGAGATAGTCAGCCTCCCTTCTCCACCCCTGCTGTTGGTACTGCTCCTCACCTGGGGCTGCGGCAGCAAGTGTGCAGTCTGGAAGCCTAAGTGCCACCCAGGCCCTGGTCCCTCAGGAGCTACCGCATGCTGGAAGGGAGGGGGTTTCCTCACTAAGCCCTGAGCCTGTCCTCAGCCCCTGGTTTGGTTTCTGAGCTTTTACGGTTGGTTAGAGGCACAGCTGAGTCTCTGCCTTTCCCAGTAGGGTCAGCAGAGGGAAAGGGAAGATTGACTGTGGGAACACAAGGCAGTGCTTAGGTGACAGCGAAGACTGCTGGGCTCTGGAGCCTCCTTTTCTCCCGTGTGTCTCTCCATGTGGAACTCAGCAAAAAAATGGGTTGTCGCGCCCTCCATGGCGCGTGGTCTCCATGACCTGGCCTGTCTCAGCAGGACTGCCGATACCTGAGGATCCTGGTGGAGAATCAAGGACGAGTCAATTTTTCATGGCAAATACAGAATGAGCAGAAAGGTGGGCTCTGGCTGTGGCTTCTCCTCAGTTACTCAAAACTGAAGACCCGGGCTACGCACTGGGGTGGGGGGGAAACCAGCCCCTCAGTAGTGGGCTACCCAGGTCCTGGGAGTGGAGATGCAAAATCCGCCCCTCGCCCTTGTCTTGCCTTCTCTGGTCTCTGGGGCCAGAGGGTGGAGCCAGTGTGTTCGGTGCTGGCTTGTCCGGGAGCAGGGCCAGTTTCCTTTTGGGAATTTCAGGAGAAGTTCAGTACTAAGTGGGGGAACTTTCTTGGTAGTGTGGAAACGTGTAGGTAAAACCTTCAGTCAAAGCAGGTCACACAAACGTTTGCCCTCCTGGCTGAGCCGCTGTCCTAAGGCACATACATGTCTGCATTGCTTTGTCCCAGATGCTAGTCCAGTCCTGGCTCATATTCTCTTTCTTGCCTCCCATCTGCATCTGCAGGAATAACTGGATCTGTCAGCATCAATAACTCTTCCCTGGAGGGCTTTACCATCTATTCCCTGGAGATGAAAATGAGCTTCTTTGAGAGGTATGCTCCAGCTGGCCCCCCATGCACACTTCAGTGATCAGGGAACTCAAGAGATTTCAGACTCCTCACTGCAGATGAAGAGTCCAAAATACAGAGACTGAGTGATTTACTCCAGACTGTCGGGCACTGCGGCATCAGAACTAGGGCCCTGGAGCAAGTGTCCTGATTCGGATCTTAACGTGTCTAGCATGTGTAGTCTATGCTAGCTCATTGAAACAGAATCTTTGGCTCGGCCCAAGCCACCTGGGGTGGGTACTGGGAACTGGGTTGGGAAGGGGCTTCCTCTCCCCCATGACTTGGCCTTCCTTCCAGGCTCCGCTCTGCCACCTGGAAGCCTGTCCCAGATAGCCACCAGGGCCCAGCCTTCTACCGTGGGACCTTGAAGGCTGGCCCTTCTCCCAAGGACACCTTCCTGAGCCTGCTGGTAGGTGACGCCCTCTGCTGCCCTGGTGTTCCAAACACCGATTTTATTTTTAAAGGGTTCTGGAGCAAAGCCAGTGTTCCTGGAGGAATACTTCCCTTTCTTTTCCTCTTCTTCCTCATCTCCAACCAAGCCTTCCAACATTCATCAGTCTTCCTAATTTATCACTATTTAGAGAATAACACATGAAAACACAATTAAAAATTCAAACAAATAACAAGGGGGAGAGAGCAGAGCATGACGTTCCCCTCTGCACCCACCCCCATTCCAGTTAGTCTCTGCTTCTCAGAACTCAACACTGCGAACAGTGGTATATTTTTATATATAACTTTGCCTGAACACACACATACACGATTGTTTTTACACTAATAGAATTGTACCATGTATTCTGCAACTCTGTTTTTCTGTGTGGGGTGAGTTGGTAGGTTAGTTTTTACCTAGAATATCTTTTTCTGTATAAATACACATAGATAACATAAACGTACAAAATGTGAATGTACAGATCAACAAATGATCACAAAGTGAACACCATATAATTATCATTGAAATTTAAAAATATTGTTAGCACCCCTCCCAACCACTGCCCCCTTCTCTGCAAAGGTCACCACTGCCTTGACTTCCAACACCCTAGGCCAGTGTCTCCCATTTTGACTTTATGTGAATGGAATCATACAGGGCATCTTCTTTTTAATATTTTTTTTGTTCAGTGTTGTGAGGTTCAGCCATTTATCGATTTTGCAGTGATTTGTTCGTTTTCACTGTTGTACTGGGTTCCTTTAGTAAATACGTGATAATTTATTTAACCATTTTACTTTTTCTGGACATTTGAATTATATCTGGGGCTTGTCTGTGATAAATCGTTAAGACTTATTTTGTGTTTATGTTCATGACTGAAATCTCTGTCAGGTTTTGGTGCCAGGTTTAGGGCTCTCCTACAGGATGTAGGAAGGGGAATTTGTGTAAGACAAGTACCACTTACACATGTAATGGAGTTCATTAGTGAAGCCTTCTAGAGCTGGCATTTTCTTTTTGAGAAAGTTTGCGAGTGTGGATTCAATTATTGAAAGATTAAAGTACTATTCGGATTTTGTTTCTTGTAAAGTTAGCTTTGAGAAAATGTATTTTTCTGGAAATGTTCCCATTTCATCGAAATTTTCAAATATGTTGCCTTTAAAATCTTCGTGTTTGATGTCGAGATCATTGGCAGTCACATGCACCTTGTCATTGTTACAGGACACCGATGCACTGTTTTTCTTGATGATTCTCACCAGAACACTATCAGTGTTATTAATCGTTCAAAGTACAGTGTTTGGCTATGACTCTTACTATGTTATATATTTGTTTTTTGATTCTTTAATTTCTGTTATTTTTATTATTTTGTTTATTCAATTGCTTAGTTTAGGATTAATTTGCTTTATTTTTATAATGTCATAGATACTTAGATCATGGATTTTTAGTCTTTATTCTTTTTAATTATATGAATTTAGGTTATTAATCATCATTTAAGCATGGATTTGGTTGTATCCCATAAGTTTTAAAAAGACTTTTTGAGGTAAAATTACATAACATAAAATTAGCTCTGTTAAAGTGAGCAATTAAGTCACATTTCGTGCTTCACAATGCCATGCAGCCACTATCTCTAGTTCCAATGCATTTTCATTATCCTAAAGGAAACCCTATAACCATTTGGCAATTACTTCCCCATTTTCCTCTTCTCCCATCCCCTGGCAACAGCAACCTTTTTTTTTTTTTGAGACGGAATCTTGCTCTGTTGCCCAGGCTGGAGTGCAGTGGCGCAATCTCATCTCACTGCAAGCTCCGCCTCCCGGGTTCACACCATTCTCCTGCCTCAGCCTCCCGAGTAGCTGGGACTACAGGCACTCGCCGCCATGCCCGACTAATTTTTTGCATTTTTAATAGAGACGGGGTTTCACTGTGTTAGCCAGGATGGTCTTGATCTCCTGACCTTGTGATCCGCTTGTCTCGGCCTCCCAAAGTACTGGGATTATAGGCTTGAGCCACCACGCCTGGCCATAGCAATCTTTTTATTATCTTTATGGATTTGCCTATACCGGAAATGACTCCCATACCTTTTTTTTTTTTTTTTTTTTTTACATAGAATAAGAATAAATTTAATATGTATTTTTTTTCATGACTTAGGAATTATATTCTTCAAAGCAAGAATTCAGAATGTACATAATTATTAGCCATATTTCATATTAATGTATTATTAATTTTTATATTATACTTTCCATTATATGGGTAATGGTTCATATTGAAATACAGAAAAAATAAGTTGTGGTAAGACAAGTGATATCTCTATAGAAAGAGATGAATCATTTTAGTGTCTTATTAGTTGGATAGTTGCTGCTTTAGGGTTGCTGTGTTAGCTTGACATTTTAATCATAAGTACAAATTCTATCTAAAAAATAATGAAGGTTTCGTAACAAACAGCTGATACTAAAGGTGAGCACCTCACATGTCGGTGCTTCTCTGAAGGTATCAAGCTGACCTCGGCGTGGGCGTTTTAGAATGTCTTAAAGATGGTTTTGTAAGGAGCTGGCAGGCAAATTAAGCCCAACAAAAGAGAAGGTCTGCAATTTATCCTGCAGGTTGGGGCCAATCTTGAGTCTGCTAGGAATTATAAAATACCTACTCTTGCTCTTTCACCTCTTAAGTTTTCAGTTGGAATTTCACTTTCCTTCGTGTGGCTGTACGGATGTGACGGCCGCACGCGTCACAAGGACTTGCACATAATGACAACTTCCATGTTTTGGGGACATTGAGAAGCTTCCCTGGGACCAGAACTTTGCTATAGTAGGGCTGTACTTCTTCTCGTATTAAGGGAAATCGTGTAGACTGATGGTACCACTTGGCAGGTAGTATTCGACCTCAGGCACTGGACGTCCTGGCGGCACTGTCCAGAAAGCTGCAGGCCACTCTGGGGGCCGTGTTGTTGCTGGGGAGAAACATGATGATCTTTCCCAATAAATTTATACTTTTTGTGGATTCTTGGTATTGTTTAAGTTCCTTTCTTTTCAAGCTGAAGGACTTCCTTTAGCACTTCTTGTAAAGCAGGTCTAGTGGCAATGAACTCTCTCAGTTTTTGTATGTCTGGAAGTCTTTATCTCTTCTTCATTTTTGAAAGACAGTTTTGCTGGATGTAGTATTCTTGATTGCCAGTTGTTTTTCTTTCAGCATTTTAAATATATCGGTTCATTCCATGCTAGCCTGCAAGGTTTCTACTGAAAAATCTGCTGATAGTCTTATACCCTACAAGTTTCTGTCTATTTTATTGTCATCATCAGTGAACTCAAATATTTTCCAACTTCCTTTGTCATTACTTGTTAGACTTATGGTTTATTTAGAAGTGATTTTCTTAATTTCCAAGAATTTGGATATTTTATAGTTATCTTTTTGTTATCAATTTCTTGCTTAATTGCATTATAGTCTGAGAAGTTTATGTGAAAACTAGTTTAACACAGGATCAAGCTTGTAAATATTCTGAAGTATACTTGAAAGAATATGTGTACACTGTAGATGTTAGATCAATGTTCTGTTATGTCAATTAGTTCAATTTTGTTAATCATCTTTCAAATGTTTTATATCTTTATTGATTGTTATTTGCTTTGCCTACTGACTTTTGAAAGGTTGTATAAAAATTTCCTACTATGGTTGTAAATTTGTTTATTTCTCTTTATTATTCTGTCAATTTTGCTGATATGTTTTGTATCTATGCTTTTATCTTCCTTACGTATGTTGTATATACATTTATGGTAAATTAAGAATTTTACCATCATGAAATGATGGCACCTCCTCTTTTTTTTTTTTTTTTTTTTTTTTGAGGCGGAGTTTCGCTTTGTCGCCCAGGCTGGAGTGCAGTGGCCGGATCTCAGCTCACTGCAAGCTCCGCCTCCCGGGTTCACGCCATTCTCCTGCCTCAGCCTCCCGAGTAGCTGGGACTACAGGCGCCCGCCACCTCGCCCGGCTAGATTTTTGTATTTTTTAGTAGAGACGGGGTTTCACCGGGTTAGCCAGGATGGTCTTGATCTCCTGACCTCGTGATCCGCCCGTCTCGGCCTCCCAAAGTGCTGGGATTACAGGCTTGAGCCACCGCGCCCGGCCGGCACCTCCTCTTTTGCTACTACCTTAGTTCCACACGTATGCCAGTCTTTTCCAAATATGAATGCAAAAATGCTATCCAGAAGATACAATGCTTTCAGCGCACTTAGAGAAAAAAAACTCACAACTTAGAATTCTTTACCCAGCAAAACTATTTTTCAAGAAAAACAAATAAAATATAGAACTTTCTGACAAAGAAAAATCAAGAGAGTTATCAAAAGATCCCCAGTAAATGCTGTTCTGTAGCGGCCTTTATCTCTTTATCTCTAATATTTATCTCTTTATCTCTAATAATGCTTCTTGCCTTAAAGTATTATTTTTCTGAATATTAACAGAGCTATAGCAACTTCCTTTTGGTTAGGGTTTACATATCTTTATCCATTATTTTTCTTTTATTTTTTCAATACCTTATGTTTTCGATGCTTCTCTTATATGTAGCATATAACTACTTTATTTGAAATCAAGTCCTGAAACCTTTGTCCTTTAATTTGGAGCATTTCAGAGACTCCAATTGTATATGCTAGACCATTTTGTTATATCCCAGAATAAGCAGGTGCCTCTAGTGGAAAACTGCCTGGATGTCTCCTTGTCTCTCCATTTTCTTCTTCTAGATCTTGGTCCTGGAATTCTTCATTATAGTGTAAGCAGATTTAAAAAAATGTGCAGCTTTTATATTAATAGCCACTGTCAGTGGTGGTGTTCATCACTATTACCTGGTATTTATTTCTGGAAGTAGGAGATCTGCTTTTTAAAATATATGACATTATATATCACATAACAGGAGCAATAGCAGCCTTACCATTAGAGGGTTGGTTCTATTTATGTTTTTCTCTCTCGTTCCTAGAGTGCAAGGTAGAAATTCTATAACATATCCCACTCTAAACTCACCTCCCTTTGACTGCCATAAAGTATCTCAGTCTTGTTCTCACTCCCAAAGTGCCTTAGGTTTTACCTTGCTAAGGTGAACCTGTTTCCAAATCTCAAGCCACCGTTCCTTTCAGAACTGGAATTACGGATTCGTGTTCATCAATGGACGGAACCTTGGGCGGTACTGGAATATTGGGCCTCAGCAAACACTGTACCTTCCTGGAGTATGGCTTCGTCCGGAGGACAACGAGGTATGTCACCCAGTCTCTGCCTTGAGATCTCATAAACTTTCAGATCAAAATGTGAGTTGCAGTGTCTTTTCCATCCTGTACTAAATAGGCTTCACCTTTCCCACTGTCAGCCTTTCTTTTCTTCTCAGGTCATCTTGTTTGAGAAGATGCTGAGTGGCTCAGACATCACATCTACAGACAAGCCCATGCTGTAAAACCGTGTCTGAACATACCTTTTGGGTTGCTGGAGTTCATCTGCAAGTCATTTTTGAGGAATAAGATTTATATTAAGACTATCAAACAGTGTTGCTTACAATAGCAAAAATGTGAAAATAACAACAACAACAACAAAAACCAGCAGAAGAATTGTTACGTATTTTGGAGTCTATCTATATGATGCCTATTTTTAGGCTTTAAAACATCTTCAAAATGTTTAACGGCTGATTTATCTAGTTAAATGCTTAATCCTTAGCAGGCTCTTATTCTGTAATTAAACATGCCTTAAGTAGATGCGAATAAAATAAAAACAAGTTTCACTTCTGCCTTCCATGCTCAATTGAAGGGAAGGGAAAGGTCTGTAGCCTGGGGAAGAGTGAGGATACTGATTCCTCGTGCCAGAGACAGTATTGCGTGTACTAATGGGCAAACTCACGGTCTCCCTCCTCTCTCTCTCTCTGCGTGTGTGTGCACGTGTGTGTGTGCGCACGTGTGTGTGTGCGCACGTGTGTGTGTGTGTGTGTGTGGAGTAGGGGAAAGCAGAAGGCAATGAACAATGTCTTTCATTTCCCTTCAACTGTGTGTCTACAAGGTGACCCTGCGTGTCACATCTAATCAGAGAAGGAACAGCAATTTGGTCATTTGCTTCAGACGTGTGACAACAAAGCTTAGCACGGGGTTCTCTGTGTCTCCTTACTCCCTGTCTATCTGGCTATAGTCAATACCTGCCAGTGGGTAGGTATCAGTGAGATTAGCCACACATGCGTGAATATTCTAACCACTCTGAAAAGCCAGTGGTGCCATTTGAAAAAACTGGCACCATTGGGAACCACACACTTTCTTATATACAAAACATAGCACTTGGCCTAAATTCAAACCAATGCATTAAAAACAAATCTTACCACCCTGTTAAATATAGTGCCTAGGGCTTTCCAGTAATTAGTAAGTAATCTTGTGTCCAGAGGGAAGAGAACTCTCTGTTTGGATTGGAATGAAGACAGAGATGTGATGTCAGATTATCTTCTCTCCCACTAGTCTGAATGACTATTTCAATGGAGGAAACTTCTGTCAGATACCTCCACAATTCTACATAAAACTTTATTCTCTGGGGATCTAGCCTCAAACCTATGAACTCTATAGAAAATGTAGGGTAAAGGAGGAAAGCAGAACTAATAATCATAATGATCATGAGTACATATTATATTTCAGTTGTAACATCTACAACATCTAAACAACAACCATGCAGCAAACCCATTTTACAGGCGGGAAACCGAGGTTCAAAGAGGTATTTGAAATCACGTCTCTCTGATTGGCACCTCCTCTTTTGCTACTACCTTAGTTCCACACGTATGCCAGTCTTTTCCAAATATGAATGCAAAAATGCTATCCAGAAGATACAATGCTTTCAGCGCACTTAGAGAAAAAAAACTCACAACTTAGAATTCTTTACCCAGCAAAACTATTTTTCAAGAAAAACAAATAAAATATAGAACTTTCTGACAAAAATCAAGAGAGTTATCAAAAGATCCCCAGTAAAGGCTGTTCTGTAGCAGCCTTTCTCAAAGTCCCATAGGAGAATTAAACACTGCAGAAAGTGTCTTCAGTGATTAGTTTCTCATTGTATCATCTGGATGCGTATTAGAGACGTTAACTCATTACATATTGTGGATGCCTTGGGGCATTACATCTTCACTCTCGGGGAACCCCAGTTGAGAAGAAATTTCTAAAAGATATGCCACAAGCAGATGGAAAGTCTGACTTTTAAGAAAGAACGTGGAGTCCAAGAAGGATGCTGACATGTGTGAGAGAGCATATGAACAAACATTAACTCCATACAAATAGCACCAATGTCTAACTTGAGGTAGCATCAGCATAAAACTCTTAAGACCAGGCAAAAACACTGTGTAAAGTGAGAGGCATGTGATCACAAAAAAGTGATCTAAGATTTCTGTAATTCTCAGATACTAACTTTAGACTTTGTTGAATATTCATAGTTAATAAACTTAGCTTAATGTTTAAAGAATATACATAGAGCTTTTAACTTTCTAAAAAAGTTAGGAGGATAAATAGAGTGAGAACAAACAAACAAAAATCCTCTAACCAATAAAAGACAAAAGATAGTAGAAGATAAAGAAATAGAAAAGTAAGTACAAATAGAAACACATATTAACACAGTAGAATAAATACAGATATATTAGCAACCATAGTAAATTTTATAAATGAGCTAAACTCTAATTAAAAGGTAAAAGTTGTTAGACATTATTTAAAGAAAACTATAAATATTTGAGTTTTACAAGAGATACACCTTTAACATAAAGATGCAATGATTGAAAGTCAGGATAAAAAATATGCAAATTCTAACTGAAGGAACTGTAGTAACTGTATTAACATCAGGCAAATAGACTTAACGACAGAAAATTTTTCAAAATGGATTGTAAACTCTTTTAAAGTCTACAATTCAGTCATTTTTAGTAGGGTATATTCACGAGATTGTACCACCATCATCACCATCGGATCTAGAATGTTTTCATGACTCCAGATAGAAGCCCTTAACCCGTCAGCAGTTACTCCTGATTCCCCTTTCCGCCCAGTCCCTGGCAACTATGAATTGACTTTCTGTCTCTGGATTTCCCTATTCTGAACGTTTTATGAAAGTGGAATCAAATATGTGACCCTTCGTGTTTGGCTTGTTTCACGTTTTCAAGCTTCATGGATGCTGTAGCGTGTATACTCTATCCTTTTTCATGGCTGAATGATGTTCCGTCATACGGATACACAGCATTTTGTTTATCCATTCATCAGCTGATGACTATTTGAGTTGTTTCCACTTTTTGGATATTACGAATAATGCTACTGTGAATATTCATGCACAAGTTTTTGCGTGGTTGTGTGTTTTCCATTCTCTTGGTTATATACCTGGAAGAGGAATTACTGGGTCGTATGGTAATTCTGTGTTTAACTTTTCGATAAACCATTAAACTGTTTCCAAAGTGGTTGCACCACTTTACATTCCCACCAACAAGGTATTTGGTTTCTAAGTTCTCCACATCCTCACCAACACTTGTTTTTAAGCTCTCTTTTTGATTACAGCCATCCTAGTGAGTATGAAATGTTATCTCATTGTGGTTTTGATTTGCATTTCCTTAAAAATTTATCCTCTTAAACATTGAATCCAAACATGTAGCAATGAAGTCATGCAATTGGACTTTAAGATAACAAAAATTGGCCGGGTGCGGTGGCTCATGCCTGTAATCCCAGCACTTTGAAAGGCCAAGGTGGGTGCATCACCTGAGGTCAGGTGTTTTCGACCAGCCTGGCCAACATGGTGAAACCCCGTCTCTCCTAAAACACACACACACTTAGCCTGGCGTGGTGGTGGGTGCATGTAGTTCCCAGCTACTCGGGAGGCTGAAGCAGGAGAATCCCAGCTATTTGGGAGGTGGAGGTTGCACTGAGCCAAGATTGCACCACTGCACTCCAGCCTGGGCGACAAAGGGAGACCCCGTCTAAAAAAAAAAGTAATCTCTTGAATTTTATGTGCACTTCAGCTTTCATTTCCACACAAAGGTGGTAGTGTCTTTCATCAGGTGTCATGGAAGGGTAACTTCTCCTCTCTGGCCATATCAGTGGGTTTATTTATTCAGCAGATTCCAGCAAATAAATCATTAGTTGCTTGTAAGGCCTCTGTTGCTGTTATTCTCTGCAAAGTATAATATTAATCCCTTTTTTTTCTTTTTTGCTGAAGCTTTTTAAAAAGCATGTATTAGTTGCTATTCAACCTCTCTGAATGTCTTACATAAAGAGACAAGAGAGTTTCAAAATCTTTTGTATGTCATGTACTTTGTTTTTGAAGAGTCCCTGCCTTATACTGTGCTGAAATTTCTTTCTAAATATGAGCTAAAAGTCGTGAATGAAGCAGTTATACATCTGTAATTCCTAATCTAAATATGAGCTAAAAGTCATGAATGAAGCAGTCATACATCTGTAATTCCTAATCTAAATATGAGCTAAAAGTCGTGAATGAAGCAATTATACAGCTGTAATTTCTAAACCACTTACGGTGTTAGCCATGCTTGTTCTTTCTTTCCCAATGACAATTGTATGGCAACTTTATATCCTAATTTTTCATTTCATAACTATTTCTTGGATTGCTGTGCTATACTCAGAAATGATGATAAAGAATAAAGGAGAAGAATTGTTAAAGTTTTCATTAATCTACCATACCAAACTTTAAGGCAACTTCTATTTGTTTCTGCATGCCCAAACATCTGATATACAAAACATGTATATTTTAATAATATCACTGATTGATTCACAGTAAAATACAATTCAGGAAAGCATATTTTAGTAGCATGTTTTGTAGAAGGAGTTTTGTACCTTGAAGTCATAACTTGGGCAGATTTAAACAATTATTTGGCAGCCAAAAAGCTACTGAGAACACCAGGAAATAGCAATTATTCTGAGAAGCTTTTTGTTTAGTCTCTGTAGACTCAAAGCTATAAGAAATTATCTTTTAAGAGTATTATAAGTCTGTCTTTTGAAGTTAGATTAGTGAGAACATAATGTGCCCAATTTTTTCCTTTGTACCTTGTCTGTTCTTTGTTCTGTCTGAATTGAAAATGATTTATCATAGATGTAGCTGCACATAATTTTGGAGATTTGCCTTCTCATGAAATTCTGAGGTGGCAAGAATACCAAAAGAAGACTTTTTCTTCAAAGATTCATGGCCTGAATGATATTAAATAATAAAAATAAATTTGGTATAAACCACATTTTTATAAAGAAGGCATGCATGTTGTTTAGTACTATAAATGGTATTAAGCAATTCTAAAATGATAAAAATTGTGATATAATGTAATCTTTATTATGCAAATATATAGTTATACATTTAAGTTTATACTTCACATAAAATGTTTATATAATTTATACTACATATTTTATATTTTAAAAACATTTTTATACATTGTTGACTTAAAGAGGATATCATATTCTTCCCAAAGTTATAAAGTTACAAAGCTAATATACTTTCTCCACATCCGCATGAACTGTCAATCTATTTCCTTATGTGCTTCAGTATTTGAAAGTTCTTAATAATTGTTTTGGCCATTAAATCAACAGTTTTTATAATAATCAGTAGTTGCTTTATTTCTTTATTTCACTTTAACCTATTGATACAATTTTAATGTTTCACTTTATGTTACATCTCAAATGCATACTTGGATTTCAAAGTGAATACAGTCGTCCTTCAGTATCCGTGGGGGACTGGTTCCACGATCTACTGTGGGTACCGAAATCCACAGATACTCAAGTCCCTGATACG